CGCTGGAATACACCCCGCAGCACAGCCGAGACTTCAAGGTGAGCTCCGGGGGCCCTGCAGCTCGGCCGGTTCTTGGGCTCCTCCTCCTCTTCGGGCCGGGAGGATTTCTGCGCTGGATGCTCAGAGAGTTCTGGAAAAGATAACCCAGATGACAAAGGAACTCATTCCTCCCACCGTTCATGCTTTCAGCTTGTCTTCTTTGAGCGCTCAGAGCACAGGCTCCAGGTCCTGTGATCCGCCTCGGGGATGGATGTTGCCGGGAGCAAGACCCAGCCTTCAAGGAAACTGCAGTCTTTTTAGAGCGGGTTTTGGTGGGAGAGCATTCAGCAGGGTTCGAATCCCGCTGCTTCTTTCCTAGCAAATTACCGAACCTCTTGGTGCTCCCGTTTACCTGGTACCTACTCACAGCAAGTTGACAGGTTACATTGGACACTATGAAATTACCCAGTTGGGGCACTTGGAGGGGGTTCAGCCTGATAAGTAAAGTATTTCAGCTGTGTCTAGTATCCTACACACATAGTGCTCCATTTGTTTTGATTCTTAAGTAAAATTAACCAGGCATTATCAGATAGTACTTTGAAGAAGGCAGAACCTGATGACATAGCAGATGGGGGAGGTGGTCCTGGCCTTGGTTTGCAGCTGCTGGTGGAGCTGTCCACGTAGTGAGAGGATGGGATTGGAGAGCAGAGGAGTTTGCAAGGTTCAGATGGTGAGGGTCATTTGGGCTGGAGGAGTTGGGTTCTTATTGCATGTTCAACAGGGAGATGACTGGAGACTGTCTAAGGGATACTTTGAGGTGAAACATGGGTATGATATTAACTAGATGTCGAACAATGAAAGAAATCAGTTTCTTTCCATTCCCTTTCTCATTTCTTCATGCATGGGAGAACACCTCAGTTTGATACTTAGTCTTTTTTTTCATATCTGGCTCATCCTCATGTTCTACCAGCCTTCTTTATTTTTTGAGACAGGGTCCCATTACATAGCCCAGGGCTGACTTTTCAGCTTGATGTCTTCCTGACAGCCTCCTGTGTGTTGGGGACCCCCCCCCTTTCTTTTTAAGTAAGAAAACAAGTGTCAGGTTTAAAGACTTTGGTGGACAACATTAAGTTTATTCAAAAAATATTTACTTAGTGTGTCTGTGTGTTATTTGTGTAGAGGTGAGAGGACAATTTGTGGAGTCAGTTCTCCCACCTTTATGTGTGCTCTGGGACTTGAACTCAGGTTGTCAGGGTTACCTGCTGAGCCATCTTGTTGGCCCAACAGTAGCTAAATTTAATAAGGCTGTGCTTTTATTGGATTTTTTTTTGATTTGTCTTCTATTTATGGCAAGTGGTACTGGTTTTCCATTGGTGCTATCAAGTTTCTCTCTCAAAAACATTTCTCTAAGTACTGATTGGATTGCAGGACTGAATGATGATGTAGCTGAGGAGTCTGCTTTGGGTAGGGCCTAGGAGCAACACTGCCATTGCATTCCACTCTTTTTTTTTTAAATCATTTTTGCTTATATTGTTTAAGAAGAAAAAGTGCTTGCTGCTTGATCTTGAAATTTTGAATGGAAATATTTGTCTGAAATAAGGACTGAAAAAAAAAAACAAAGATTCATGCTAGAGGTCTCAAAGTAAGAAACTAGGAAAATGGTATTTTTATAGGTCCACTCTCCTTTGCTTGCGAAGTTACCCATCAGTACCCACAACAGTGGGGAAGTTTTCAAGGCAGGATCCTAGTGTGAAGTTTGCACTGTTTTGGTATATCATCATCTTAGCATATAAAAATTGAAGTTGCTTTTCCATTAAGCTGTGAGTGAGCAGAAGTGGCTTAGCAATTCTGCATGTGCAGGACTGATTGATAGTCATACTTTGGCAAAGTTGAGCATATATTCTTCGAGGTTGTTTCCATTGCTTTTTATGAGGTCGTGCACACTTTTACATCCATTAAGCTATCAACAGAAATGGGTCAATACTTCTAGAAGAATAGAGACTTTATAGAGGCGTATTTGGCAAAGTTGAACATGTTCTTGGAGTCCTTGTTTTTTTGAAACACTGTAGTCTTCTAAACCTTCAGTAGAGTTCACTGTGTATTCATTAATTCACCTCCCTTTTACTGATGGTTTGCTCAGATAGGGATGCATTCAACATCAGAAGGAACATTCCCTAATGAGAGTGCTGTGAAGTAGAAATGTCGGACAGGCTGGCATAGTAGTCTGGTGGTTCTATGGTGTTCCAGAGCCTTCATTGTATTTGTATTGCTAACCCAGACATTCTGTTTCCACTCTGTTGTCCTTAGCTGTTACTGGGATTTTGGTCTCGTGTTTGTTACCTCATGGTTGCCTGACAGTGACACCTGCAGCACCTTGTGTTCTAGTAGGAAGATAGGAAATCATGAGAGAAATAAATGTTCTCTTGGGAGCCCCCAGCAGGCTTCTGCTGTCATCTCACTGACTATACCTGTGTCAGGTGGCTGCCACAAAGGCTAGAAGCAGGTGTTTGGGTTTCCTGCTTTAATATAAGATGAACAGGGTTTTGTCTCTTAGATAGCCCACCCAAGTACCTCATCAACTATGTGCCAGACACTTGCAATGAGGGGTAGAATCCAGTAGGACTTAAGTTCACTAAGAGCTCATCTTGCAGTTGAACTAGTACGCAACTTACATTTATAGTTTGCTTTCGGATCTTGTTATAAAGCAAATTCTAATTTGCTGGAGTAGGGCATCACAGTCTGCTTTTCTCATGAGCTTCCAGGTGATGCTGCTGTTGCCTATCTAGGGAGTATACTTTGAATAATAGTGGGCTCCAAGGAGCAGATGAGGGGACATCACAGAAAAGGAGGCACAAGTTTCCTGGGCCAGGAAGTAATGAGGGCTAGTGTGAAATTGCCTATGCTTTGGGGAAACGGTGAGACATTAGATAGGTGGTTGCACTGTAGCCAGCCATCGTGATGCAGACCACCCTGGGAAAGCTTGTAAAGAAATGGTGAAGGGCTTTGTGGGCTTGATTGGACTCTATCTGGAAGTTGGGAACTTCCAGAGCTGATAAAATTGGAGAGTGATTGGATTTCTTTCTTTCTTTTTCCCTGACTCTTCACAGCCCGCTCCCCCACCCCCCTTTGTTGTCCATGCAGGATTGGTTTTCTCCATTCCCTTTTTCACTGAATATTATTTTGAGCATAAGGGAAGTTGAAGATGGATGTGAAGCCTGTCTGTCCTTGCCCTCTTGCTTGTTTGTGGCCAGCATGGATACATTCAAGTAGCTCACTAAATCTCAGAGTCTTGCTCAGTTTTGGGCTCCAGGCAGCCACCACCTGACTGGAACTGGCAGAGGAGTTAGAATCAATTGGCCTTCTTGATTTTGCCTTAAGGTCTAGAAGAGCATTCACTGTGGATTTGAGTGTGATTTTTTTCATGTTAAATCTTCCAGGTTAGTCATGTTTCTCTGTAAGTTTTCTGTTAGAATTCTTCCTTTTACCTTCTTCTAACCACATTGATTTGTGCTTCAGGAGTTTGCCAGGTAAATGTGTTTGTTTTGCTTTGCTTTGCTTCTGGTTGAACTATGGTTTCAAAAGTCGAGTTTCTATTTGCTAAAATGACAAATTGACTAGTCCAACTTTGATATTCTTTAAGAAATTTCTCTAGGTGCAGCCTGCATCTTTTTCTTTCTTTTCCTTTCTTTTCTTTCTTTCTTTCTTTCTTTCTTTCTTTCTTTCTTTTTTTAACAATTATTTCATGCTCTTAGAACAATGGTTTGCAATCAGAGCATTTTAACCTTTTTCTGTGCCACATAGCTCGAATCCCCTGGGACATTTGTCTGTTTGGAGACATACTTGGTTGTTATACCACATGGGGTGAGAGTGCTGTTGGCATCTAGTGGGTAGATTTCAGGGATTCTGTATGCTATAGTGTGAACCCCTTCCCCCCATGATTTTAGCCCAAGATGACAGTAGTGGTGAGGTGGAGAAGCATTTTGTCGTTTTCAGCATAGAGTTCCTTCCTAGCCTCTAGCCTATTTACCTTGTAGCTTTGTGTGTGTGTGCATGTACACAAGCTTGCTCATGAAGGTAGAACTTAGACTCAACCCTGTGTCAGCAGCTTTCTTTATGAAACAGTAAATAAATAAATGATTTTGAAATCTGAACATTTAGTCTGGTGTTTTAAGGGGAAATCGCCTTATTACTTTAACTTTACCAGAAGCATAGTTGTTCAGATTCTTATGAATGCCTTTTGATTTCTAGTACTCAGTCCTCTTTGTAACAAGTGAAAAAAAAGATGAAAACTTTCAACCAAGATAGGTAAGTTTTATAGTCTCAGTTTTTAAACCATGCTCTCAAAAGAGCAACTACAGCAGAGTGACCTACTGATGGAAGATTCCTTCAAAGTTTTCAGTAACCAAAAATACGAGTCTTAGCCCTGGAGTGGCCTTATCAGCCCAGCCACTGGTGTGACGGGTCTCAGGGGAGCACCTGAGCAGGCCTAGTGGACATGCTGAGACAAGCAGCATTTTTTCCCTCTGAGACTGTGGTGTAGAACTGTAGTGAAAATAAGGTCATCTGCAACCAGTTTTGAATGTATGCCATTGCTCCTGAGGCTCAGGCACTTTTGGAAACCTGGCTTAAAAACAATCCTTTTCGACTCTTTAAATGCATGAGCTGATGTGTACCATTTCTTACCAGGTGCAGGAAATGGGAAATTGTCTAAGTAGGCTACTTGGGGAATAAAATACACAGACAGTTATAGAACTCCATGTTTGCTGATATTGTGGTTCTTTTTGCTATTATAATACCATAGACTGGGAGATTTCTAAAGAGATTTATTAAAATTCTGGAGACTGGGATTTTTTGCTATGTTGAGGACCCACATCGGGCAAAGGGCTTCTTTTATCATCCTATGGCAGAAGATGAACAGAGCCTGTGAGTTTGCAAGGGTGTGTGTGTGTGTGTGTAAGGAAGGTAAGAATGGAGTATAACTTGCTCTTTTTAATCAGGAACCTACTCCTGTGGTAATGACATTTATCTATTCTTGAAGGCAGGGTCCTTATGCCCACTT